GGGTCAGCTCAGGCAAGTTAGCATGAGAACCTGTCTGAAAAACGAACCTGACAAGCACAAGGCCCTGAGTTCAACCCCTAGTACCACAAAATAATGACAAGCAATGGATGATTAGTCATTCTTCTGTAGTATTTGAGTTGTGGGACATGCTTCCTTCAGCGATAACTTGACAGCTAGCCGGCCTTCCTGGACTGAGTTTTCTGGGCTGAAAGCCCTATACTGTTTGTAGATTGAGCTCAGAGAAACAGAAACAGTAACAGCAGTTAATGGAGAGAAATAACTAGAAAAGTCTCAGTTGGCTTTGTTAAAGGTCTCAATAAATGTATATTGAATGAATGTTAAGCAGTTGTAACAACATTAGCTGTGTGTGGTGATGTTGATCTGCAGTCTCAACTCGTTAGGAAACTCATGAGGGATGAGGTAGAATACATTAGAGAAAATGAAGCCTGGTGGACAGCAGACAGGAATTCAGAATCAGGATATTTAGAAACATAGAAGCATTATCTTCCTTGCTTCCAAATAGACTTTCTGAACATCAAGGACAAACATCTGTTTTGTTTTTTTTTATCAGAAGCATTCTTTTCTAAATGGGATGCCTAAAATATTTAAAGTACAGGTAATTATTAGAGATACCCAGCCTAAGTAATAAAAGTAACACCAAGAGTGATTAAGAACATAGATAATATTTAAGTTAAAGTCAGACCCTGCCTTTATCATATATATCCCTGATGTCAAAGAACTCAGTGTCTCTCCCTTTGGGACCAACCACTCTCCTGCCTGTCAGCTCTCCTGCTTACTAAAAAAACAAAAAACAGAAAATCCCACAAAAACAAAACACTAAAACCAGAACAACAACAACAAAAAAACCTGCCAAGTTTTCTTATCATTATGCCTATTGAAGTCAAGGACCCTAAGTGGAAACTCCCTAGGTCTAGAGGGAAACTTCACATACCCTCTATTGGAGCCAGTGACAGTTTGAGTATTTGAACCCAAGAGTTCAGCCTTAGGCAACATATCAAATGCCTCTCAATTCTTAACATGTTTTTTTATTGTAAAAATACTGTACAGAGGGGTTACAGTTACATGAGTAAGGTAATGAGTACATTTTTTTAATCAAGCATTGTTGCTGCCTCCTTTGTTTTTCCCCTACCATCCCTTCCTTTCCCACCTCCCCAGTTACTCCCCTTTCCCCACCCCCAACCCCCCGCCCAAGTTCTAAAGTTCTTTTTCAACATAGTGTCTTATTCATCTTATTGTTACTGGGTCAACTTGAATCCCTATTTAAACATTTTGATTTTTTCCCTTCCCCTCCCCAAGTTAGAAAAATGTATATACAAGATGCAGGGCACTGGAATCAAATACAATGAAAACGGGTTATACCATGGGGGAAGAACGTACCAAAGGGGAAAAAAATCACATAGTACATTATAAATATGTTAAAAACAATAGCAAAAAAGAAAAAGCCATTTGTGTCCCTATCTTGGTGTTCATTTCGCTTAACATCATCTTATATGGTCATATGTACATAGCTTTGACTGCTGCTGCTTATCCTAAACTTATACTATAGTATACTATACTATACTAGTTATTGCAAATAAGGGAAACCATGGGACCTATGTTTCTTTGGGCCTGCTTTACTTAATATAATTTTTTGAAGTCTTTCCGTTTCCTAACAAATGGAACAATGTCATTCTTTCTCATGGAGGCATAGGATTCCATTGTGTATATCTTTATTTTTTTTTAAAGAAGCCCAACTAGAAGATTATTTGGAAAGATGCAAAGGGACAGTCTATCTCTTATGACATAACATTGCTGATAGAAGTTGAGTCTGGTGTAGGTTGGTTTCAGTGTTTCTATAGGTTTTGCATTAGGTAGAACTTCCATATCTAGAGCTTGAATGAAAAGGCAGTCTTATAATTCAGCCATTTTCAGAGCCCAGATACCTGATTGTAACATTTTATTTGAGTCGAGAGGAAATGTGGGAATGCTGGTAAGCAGTAAGACTAGGGTCTTTGGTCAAAGGAAACCCCTTCACTCTCCTCATCCAGGCAATAGATGCCTTCATTCTGTAGATGCCTCGGAGCACCAGAAGTTGCTTCCTCAGCTGCTCTGTAATATTTCCCAATCCACAGGAGGAGGGTGGCTAGCCCTCCTGTACCTGGAAGAAGCAAAGGCTTAATTTTCTACTAAGCTACAGGGTTACTGCAATTCAAAACCAGTCTCAGAAGGGGTGGCTCAAGTGGTAAAGGGCTAGCTCTGAGCAGAAGAAGCTCATGGAGAATGCCAGGCCCTGATTTCAAGCCCCAGAACCAGCTTTCTCCCTCCCTTCCCCCTCGCCACTCTCTTACACACACACACACACACACACACACACACAGCCCTTGCAATCTTGGAGATTCAGTTCCCAACCTATGCTCCCCTGAATCTTTCTAATGTAAAGCCTATATTTTGAAAGTTTGTTTCTACCTTTTATTTTTATTATTTTAAGAAGTTGAACAAGAAATTTCAATTCAGTATATTAACTCATGAGTACTATGCATTTTGATCAATGTTCCCTCTTCTATCATTCTCTCCCATATCTTCCAATTTTCCTACTTCATAAAATGTGGTCCCTAGAAAACAGTTTGTCTCACATGTTTCTGTTAGACCACACTGCTTTAATATATTCACCTAGTAAACTTAACCAAGGAAGAAGATTTGTACTCTAAAAACTACAAAATGTTGTGGAAAGAAATTAAAAGACCAAATAAGTGGAAAGATATATTCATGGATTGGAAAGAACTACAGATTCATTGTCATCTCTATCAGAACTCTTAACATCCATTCTTGGTAGACCTAGAAAAAGTCATACTAAATCTCAATGAAAATCATAATATATAAAACAACCATTTAAAAATGGTTAATATGATAACTATTATATGTATTTTACCACAACTAAATACATATTCTAAAAGTTCTTACCCAAACATTACTCTCCCTCTTCCCAGACTCTAGTGAATTAAGGATTTTTAAAAAAAGATTTAAAAAAAAATCTTGGATGTATTACTATTATGGCTCTTGGGTAATCATTCATTTAACAGGATAAGGGTTGGGGGAAGGCTGGAATGGGATGAATACTCATCCACTTCTGGGGGCCTTACCAGAGGCTGAAAAGAAAATACTAGGGTTTGTGGCAAGAAAGAAACGCAGTTTTCCAAATAGCACGAGGGACAGCGAAAGTATATCTTGTAGGCTTTTCACCTTCAGGCTGGACTTGGAGAGGTCGTTCATATCCATCCATCTTTCTTAAGCAGTTCAGAAAATCTAAAAGGTCCCTTTCCTTTCCAGCATACAAAAATCTCCCTTTCTCCATCACAAGGACTGGAATAATTGTTCTTAGCTAGTCTAACATGCCAAGAAAGAGAGAGATACTCTTTTAAGATAGATTTGAGCTGGAGGCAGGATTCAACTGGTAGAGTGCTTGCCTAGCAAGTATGAAGCCCTGATTTCACATCCCAACACCATCATTTTTAAAAGATTTGAGATAGAACAGCTAATTTACTAGATAAGGTACTTGTGTTAGTCAATTTCTTGTGACTATGATCTTTAAAAAAGTATGAAAAAGAGGAAAGATGTACTCTGCAGAGGTTTTGGCATTTCCTGGGCTGGCTCCACTGCCTTGGGGCTGTGATACCACAAAGCATCCAGGCAGCAGAAACCTGTGGCAGAGACTACTCATCTCTCCGGAGCCAGGAAGCAGAGAGACAGAAAGAGGAGTAGGTCAGGGACAAGGTGTATCCTTCAGAGCCGTGGCCCCAGTGACCTTTTTCTTCCCGCTAGGCCCCATTCAGCTATGAACCCCTCAGTAGCTTTATTCCATTGATGAATCCCATGTCCGCATGCTCCCATCCTCTACCACAAATCATCTACGTATCACCCAACAGGTATGGACAAAGCAGCTACTGTGTGCACCTGCAGCTGCACAGTTGGAATTGGCAACTGCCACCAGCCCAAGGAACCTTCTCCATTAATGGACCGGATTTAAGATTCTGATTGTGAAAGAGGGACAAATACCGCAATGGTACTCACTGGACACTATGTCGAAAATGAACTATACAACTTGTGGGTGGGGATGGGTGGGAAACACTGGGAGAGAGAAAGGATGACTGTCCAAAAAGAAAGAATGTACTCTCTACCTGAGTTAGGTAACTGTAACCCCTCTGCACATCGCCTTTATAACAACAATTGAAAAAAGAAAGAAAAAAGTTCTAATTGTGGATGATCATAGGACTGATCATAGGACTCTGATCTTGATGGGGGCGGGGTGGGGTGGGGGGAAACAAAGGTGAAAGCAAAGAAGGAATTGTCTGGAAACGATTTCTTGAGTCTGTAGAAACATAAGCAACATACACATACACACATGCACAATTTTGATCCTGAAGAAGCATAAGTAACACACACACACACACACACACACACACACACACACACACACACACACACACACACACACACACACACACACACACACGGCCGCTCTGCAGCCTTCCTGTACCGGTAGTCCTGCCCCTCCCTCCCCACGACCTCCTCTTAGCGCTGCCAACACCTGCCCAGTGGGCACCGGGCTCAACCCCCAGGGAGCCGCCTTTGTCTTCCCTGGCCCCGCCGGCGATGGTGATTGGTTGTAGCTATGCAGTGCAGGTCTTTTCTTCCTGATTCCCCCAGGCTCCCCCCCGGAGTCGCTCACTCTGCTCTTTCCACGACCCCTCCCGCTCTGCCCCTCGCTCGCGCCTCCCCCTCTCCCTCCCCTGTCCCCTCCCCTCTCCTCCCCCCTTCCTCGCGGCCGCTGGGTGACTCGCCCAGCAACAGATGCCAGCCGTCAAGCCTGGCATCCCGAGGCCCCGCTGAGGCTGGGAGCGGGAGCGGGGGACCGGCTGGGAGGCGCGCACGCAGCACCCGCGAAGCCAGGCGCCCGTCCCCGAGCTCCGCGCAGGGCTGCCCGCGCGCCCCTCTGCGCAGCCATGCCAGCCCCGGCCACCGACGCGGGGCAGGTTCCCTTCTGCGAGGCCAAGGAGGAGACCCGTGCCGGGCTCGAGGGCTCGGCGGGCGGCGCTGACCCCCCGGGGCGGCGGGGCGCGCGCGGAAGGCGGCTGCACATCGTCTGGAGGAACGTGGTCCTGATGAGCCTGCTCCACTTGGGGGCCGCCTACTCCCTGGTGCTCATCCCCAAAGCCAAGCCGCTCACTCTGCTCTGGGGTAAGTGGCGCCCCCCCCCATGCGCCCCGAGCCCCTTTGGGACCAGCAGGTATTTCCAACTTCTGCCCCAGATGGAGAGTGGAGCGACCTGGAGTCCTGCCACCGGCACCCGCCAGGCACGGGGCTAAAAGGGGCTGGGAGGAAAGAGGCCAGGCGGGGTGGTTGGGTCGCCTGTGTGGGTCCCCAGCGTTCTCCTGTCTCTCACCTTTCAGCTTGATGGAGGGACCTTGAATCCCCAGTTCAAGAAGGGCAATGGCGGGCGGTGGGGCGAAGAGAAACCCGACCCAGGACTGGATCTTGCTTTTTGCACACCATATGGGGGGGGGGGAGGCAGGGGGAGCCAGCTCCCTTCCAGCCTCTATAGGCCCCATTGTCCCTGCCCCGCGCCATGATCACCTAGGTCCAGTTGCAGTTTTTCCACCCTGGAAGTTTCTTGGCGAAACCCTGAGCCTCCCGGGCTGGCGCCCTGGGCCCCCCCGCACAAGCTCGGATTGTGGCTGTGAGGGTCCTGTCCAGCCAGGCCCTTTCCCGATTTGTTCGGCGCCCACGAGTGCACGCGTGCCTTTGGGATCACACTACTTTCTTGTAGTACCTCATCCTCAAGGAAGAGAGTTCAGGAGCTGACCCCTCCTCTTCCGGACTCCAGAGACTCAGTGGCACCCCTGCCAGGCTCACCGTAGCCTCGGTCCCCGTCTGAAGCACTTAGCTGCCCTGCTGACCCCACCCCCATGACCGAGGGGCCTCTACTCTGTACCCCAGGGGCCGCCATAGAGAGGCGCAGTGGTGCTGGGAGAACCAGTCTCTGAGATTTCCGAAGGAAGGAGGGCAAGAGAAATTCAACCTACTTTCACTTCCAAGGGAGGGGAGGGGGGAAGAGGACGGAGGAAACAGGAAAACTTCTCCCTACAAAGCTTATTCTGCATGTATCCAGCGGTGCCAGCACATGAGCAGATGCAGCCATGTAGAGAATAGCACTGCAGGTCAAGCCATCCTTGGAAGCGTCTGCAAGCTTCTGTCTTGGAGGCAAACCCACGTTGAAAGTGGGTACTTCTCGGGTGGGGGGGGGAGTGGCTCAGGAGGCAACTCCTGCTGAGGGAAGTGAGCAAAGCAGGGGTCTTTGGGGATCTCTAAAGTGTAAGTCACTCCACCCCACTTTCTGCAAAACTCTGGGTAATCAATTCTGGGCCTCATCTCTTCCCTTTTCAGTGCACCTTTTCAGTTCTTGTTATCTGGTTTAATAGTCTGCACATCAATGTGGGTGAGGTTCAGCCGTTTCTCAATGGACACATTTCCACACTGCCCACCAAAGTAGAATCTCTAGGCAGCTGCTGGCTGCTACCCTCAGATTGCAGAGGCAGGCTGAGCACTGAACTTCAGAGCCCACTGGCCTCTACGGGATAGGGCTAGTCTTTAATAGCTGCACTATTAGAGATCACTCAGAGATCAGTGAGCACTTATATTTTCTTACATGCCTGGAGCTCCACTGTGCCCACAGCTCTACTGCCTATGGCCACTGAGCTCTGAGACACTGGCATGCATCCAGGAGCCACAGGAGTAGGCCTGACTTCTCAGGTTTGCCAAGCCACCTCTGCCCTTTCCAGATTGTTCTCAGTGGTAAAGATGGAATTTTTGTTCTGAAAGACCTTGGCCAGAAACTCCTTTAACTGATCCAGAGAAGCTAACACACTTTAGGAATCAGATTTCTTTTTGTGGGTGATGTTGCTGAATTCCTTGTACTTTGCTTGAACAGAAATCTTAAGAACTCTGAATTCTGAATTTTGATTCTCTCTATCCCTTCATTGAGCTTTTGAAGGAGCCTTCTAGTCTGGCTGTTGACTCCAGAAATGCTTTGCTGGTTTCATCCTATATAGCATCACAGTCCTCCAAAATGCTCCGCGGTGATGTGATGATGTTTTTGCTTGCAAAAAGACAACTTCAGCAACAGAGCTGGCCCACGGAGCGGTAGTTTGATGTCTTGGATGGACTGGCTCTCCTCTTCCTATTTTCTTTCTCAAGAAAAAGAAATGCTGGGTGCAGCCTCACACCTGTGACACTAGCTTCTGGGGAGGCTGAGAGTGGAAGGAAGGAGATTCAAAGCTAGCCCAGGCAGAAAAGTAGAGACTTCCTGCTCAACCAATGTGAGCATGATGTCATGCTCCCATCAACCAGCTATATGGTTTGGGCTAGCCCAGACAAAAACGGAGACCCTATTTGAAAACTTATAAAAGTGAGAAGGGCTGGGGACATGACTCAAACAGCAGAGTGCCTGCCTATTTAGGATAAGGTACTGAGTTCAGAACTGAGTTCCATACTGCTCAGAAAAAGAAAGAAAAAGAGCAGACAATGATATATGTGTTATAGTTTCAAGATCTAAAATTATGGCTTAAAAACATTCCAAAGCTGGGCGCTCATACCTGTAATCCCAGCTACTCAGGAGGCTGAGATCTGAGGATCACAGTTCATAGCCAGCCGGGGCAAGAAGGCCATGAAACTCTGATCTCCAATAAATCACCAGAAAACCCGAAGTGGTGCTGTGGCTCCAGTGGTAGAGTGCTTGCCTTGAGCTGAAGAGCTGAGGGCCAGCGCCTAGGCCCAGAGCTCAAGCCCCATCACTGACAAAAAAACAAACCAAAAAACCATTCCAAACAATGTTATTTTTTGTGGAATGGGGGGGGGGGAGGAAGGGGGGATGTAAAGGACAATCAGATTCCAGCTAAGACCAGTTGTGAGAATGGCCAGGCTTTGTCAGGCACCTAGAGTGAAAGTGATATGTCAGTGAAAATATTGGTACCTTGACCCCCAACTTTCGCTCCACAATAACCAGGACTTTTCTATCATCTTCCTCACTGGTTCTATTGAGCTTCAGGACTGAATTGCTGTACCAATGGGCTGCTCAACCACTCAGAGACCTGAATTGTCACAGAAGTAGCCTTAGCCCATCGATTGTTTGCCATTCTCCACCCCAAATAAGTTTGCCCTGGGAACAAGAGGTATCCAGGCAAAGTACTTCTCAGAGGGTGCTTTCCTTAAGTGTGTAAAATTCAAGGAGTGAAGTTTCATCATCAGAGATGTCATCTATGACAAATCTACCAAGTAATTTAGTTCACCTTCCCCTACTGCCCGCCCCCTCCCTCCTGCCCCTCATCTGCCCCTGATTCTCTTTGGGGTTAGAGCCACTTTTTTTCCCCCTTTTGACTCTCCCAGTTCTCTGAGTGGCTGCTTTTGATGCTGCAGGGATAAAATTTATGAGTTCCAGGACAGAAAGTAATTCTAGCAGGAGAATAAATCAGCTGCAGGCTTGAGCTCACAAAAGCAACAGCTTAGAATATTCCTGGCCACCAGAACAGTTAGACAATGCACTGTATGTCAAGAGCAACAGTTAGAGGTCAAAATCACTGGGCTGTGTTTTTGACCATCTCCAGATGAACTGTCTGTTGATAGACAGACAACACTCTGGCTATTGACTCCAGAAATGCTTTGCTGGTTTCATCCTATATAGTATCACAGTCCTCCAAAGGTACTCTGCCATGACATGATGATGTTTTTGCTTGCAAAAAGACAACTTCAGCAACAGATCTGGCCCACTGAGCAGTAGTTTGTTCTCTTAGATGGACTGGCTGTCCTTTCCTATCCTGTCCTAGAGCAACTGGAACCTTCTTGAAGGTGAAAGGAGGCGTATCTCTGGACAATCTTGAATGGACTGCAGCCAATGGCAAGAAAGCCAAGCAGGGGTGGGGATAGAAACAGTGGACTGGGAGGGGGCAGCCAGGAGAAGCTGGAGTTTAGAAGCCTCTTTCAAAAGCTCAGAATTATCCATAGATGAGCTATCCTGTCAGGCACCGGGCAACCTGTATCCACTACTTGGATGGTCATTGCATTTTTTTTTTTTTTGTCGGTCATGGGGCTTGAACTCTGGGCTTGGGTGCTATCCCTCAGCTCTTCAGCCCAAGGCTTGAGCCACAGCACCACTTCTGGTTTTTCTGGTGGTTTATTGGAGATAAGAGTCTCATGGACTTTCCTGCCTGGGTTGGCTTTGAACTGTGATCCTCAGATCTCAGCCTCCTGAGTAGCTAGGATTACAGGTGTGAGCCACCAGCGCCCTGCTGGTCCTAGCATTTTTCTGGGTTATTCTTCCTTCTTATCAAGTCCCTGGGTTGTTGGGAAGCCCCTAGAGAGCATGGTAGTCAGCTTCTGTCTGGCCTCCAGGTTTTGCAGGATGAGCAAAGCTCATAAGATCCGGGTGGTGACTCCTGAATTCTTGCTTGCCAGCTGTGTGGCCAGGGACTAATGAATATCCCTGACTTGTAAATGGCCAAATTAGTAAGTAGTACTTGCTCATGAACTTGTGAGAATTCAATTATATAATCACTTAACATAGTGCCTGGCTTTTGGTATGTGTCAAGAGATCATTAGCTGCCATCAATATTATTGGACCTCATACTGGATCTTGATTTATTTTGCGTTTTTTTATTTGCATCTTTTCTTTCTATTGTGAAAATACTGAACAGAAGGGTTACAATTACATGGGCAAGATAATGAGTACATTTCTTGTCAAGCATTATAGCCTCCTCCTTTGTTTACCCTTCCCATCCCTTCCCATCCTCTCCTCACTCCCCCCCTACAGAATCCACCTCCCCCTCCCTATCTGCATCTTTTCTTATTTGCTTCTTTTGTTTCCCTTTGATATTTCTCCCTTCCTTCTTTCTTTCCTCCTTCCTTCCTTTTTCTTTCTTGCTCTCTATCTCTTTATATACACATGTATGTGTGTGTGTGTGTGTGTGTGTGTATGTGTGCAAAATCTTCTTGTTTTGTTTTTCTTGGTCATGGGGGTTGAACTCTGGGTCTGGGTGCTGTCCCTCAGCTCTTCAGCTCAAGTTTATTGCTCTACCACTTGAGCCACAGCGCCACTTCCTTTTTCTGAGTGGTTTATTGGAGATAAGAGTCTCAGGCACTTTTGTGCCCAGAGTGGCTTTGAATTGTAAGCATCAGATCTCAGCACC